CCTGTGTTGCTGAGGGGTCAGAATATTCCTGTGTTACTGAGGGGTCAGAATATTCCTGTGTTGCTGAAGAGGTCAGAATACTCCTGTGTTGCTGAGGGGGTCAGAATATCCCTGTCTTGCTGAGGGGTCAGAATATTCCTGTGTTGCTGAAGAGGTCAGAATATTCCTGTGTTGCTGAAGAGGTCAGAATATTCCTGTGTTGCTGAAGAGGTCGGAATATTCCTGTGTTGCTGAAGAGGTCAGATATTCCTGTGTTGCTGAGGGGTCAGAATATTCCTGCGTTGCTGAAGAGGTCAGAATATTCCTGTGTTGCTGAGGGGGTCAGAATATTCCCGTGTTGCTGAGGGGGTCGGAATATTCCTGTGTTGCTGAGGGGGTCAGAATATTCCCGTATTGCTGAGGGGGTCAGAATATTCCTGTGTTGCTGAGGGGATCAGAATATCCTTGTGTTGCTGAAGGGATCAGAATATCCCTGTGTTGCTGAAGGGATCAGGATATCCCTGTGCTGCTGAGGGGGTCAGAATATCCCTGTGCTGCTGAGGGGGTCAGAATATTCCCTGTGTTGCTGAGGGGTCGGAATATTCGTGTGTTGCTGAGGGGGTCGGAATATCCCTGTGTTGCTGAGGGGATCAGGATATTCCCGTGTTGCTGAGGGGGTTAGAACATTCCCGTTTTGGTGAGGGGGTCGGAATACTCCTGTGTTGCTGAGGGGGTTAGAACATTCCTGTTACAGATCGGTTCAGAACCTCCGGCCCTTGTGTCGTTGCTAAAATATGTCTCGATCAATTAATATCGTTAATTGATTATACGTTTAAACAAGGCCAGACACTCCGTACAGCACGGCTCGCCTTGTATCGCAATTTCTAAAGTGAAATCGCAAATCCTGCACAAAGACTTAATATCTTCCTTGTCTAGGGTGATTATTCTAATAATTCCAATTCATGACAATATCCCAATTTTTTTATTGCTATGAAATAATAACGACCGAAAGCCGTACACTCGCCACTTTGAAGCCAACAGGGCACAAATAGCCGCCACCAGTCCCGCACAGAATGGAGGTGTGTCGGAAAGCAGCTCTCTATTTGTTTACTGTTTCCGCTGTTCTATTTTGAAGACCTATTTCTACCCCGGATCTTCAGGGGGTCTAATAGGATAGTGCATTTCTGACACCCGTGATATTAATTGATCTAGAAATATTTAAGCAACGACGTAAGAGCCAGTGGTCAGAACATGCTTTATTTCCTGGGAGTGGTCAGAACATGCCTCTGTAAAAATAATCGATTCTGGACCAGACAATCCAGTGATTGATATGAGCATCGATCCACGCAATGCGGAACGGTGACATGCATCAACCAAGTCGGTGAGCCTGACCACCCGATCCCGTTAGTCACCTTTTAGGGCAAACGTGGGTTGCTGGAGACCTATTCTACCCCGGATCTTCACGGGTCTGTTACTATATTTTCGTTTAATAGAATTGAAATGATATATCAAGCTAAATAGGGTCAAATTTCGGAAAGCGTATTTGAAAGCCTAAATATCTATCGAACAATTATTGGTCCTATTTTATCTCGCTTCCTCATCTTGTGACGAAGTGGTCTCTCGGAGGACGCTCGCCGTCGATGGTTCGACTCCATCAGGTCACGTGACACGGGAGGGGAACGCTCTGAAAAGTCATAACAAAGGCAACTGACAGTCGCTTTAAAAATAGATTTGTCGATAGGCTTGTCTTCCCTGTATTGGGCGCTAGTTTTATATATATCTATCTTGAGTTTTACTTTATGTTGAGCTAACATAGTATTTTTTATCAGGATACCGCGAAGATCCGTGGTAGAATAGGTCTTCAGCAACTATGATTGTCGGAAGAGGCGACTGTGCTTGTCGTAAGAGGCGTCTAACGGGATCAGGTCGTCAGGCTCGGTGACTTTGTTGATGCATGTCATAGTATCCCAATTACGTAGATCGTTTCTCATGATGTCCTTCATTGGATTGTCTGGTCCAGACTCGATTATTTACAGACCGCCGTCATATACCTGGAATATTACTCAGTGTGGCGTTAAACAACAAACAAACGGGACGGTGGGGATGCCTAATAGTTAAAGCGGTCACTCGTTACGCCAAGGTCCGGGTTCGATTTCCAACATGGGGTACAATATGTGAAACCGATTTCTGGTTTCACCCTCTGTGATATTGCTGGAACATTGCTGAAAGTTGCGTGAAACCATATTCACTCATTGTACGACCAAACTTGTATTTGTGGTGTGACCTAAAGTGACGCGACAACCCGACTTTCTTTCTAACTGGCGCTTACATCAGTCAGTCTTACTTGAAAATGGTATAAGGATCTATACCGCAACGTCGCCTTCACAGTATTTAAGGAAGTTGTTTTCTAACTATTCAGCACAATATTTTCTAATCTATACAGCTCTGCCTTAAAAAGTCTTTAAGAGGTGGAATCAGGTTCAAGCAGTTCTCCCTGGCCGTTAGCCATGTCAGAAATAGATTGATCTCAAATTACTTTACCAGCTACTAATCAACAACAAGGACAATTAAGAAGTGATGTTATTCTTTTGGTTCAGTGTTCACTGATGAATCCCTGGTCGGTGTCCACTGGCGCTGTCATTTGAGCCGATATAATTCCGAATATCAAGCTCTAATGTACCTCTGATCAGTACAGGACATTTTATAGCACCATGTAAGCGATCCATCCTCTTTTCTGATTCGCTTGTCACGCCTTCGGGAAATTAAAACTTCACATTATACTTTTAATATAAGAATTTTAGAAATGCTTTTTTTTTTTTTTTGTTGCGTTGGCCAATACGACATCGTCATCATTTTTGAGTAATGCATGCAGATTAACTTAGCAATATGAATGAATCGCGCGGGCGTTCTTTAATTTCTTTTGAGTATTATATAAATGAACACGTGCAAGCGTGTCCAAATCCGTTAGGATACATTTTAGTACCGAAGCGCGCGTGTATGAAAGGGTTTCGATCGTATATACGATAAACGTTCCTTCTGGTTGAGAACATACTGCAGTCTAGCCGCCGAGTGTTTGTTTTGAAATACTAAGAACAAAATGAATTAATTTTGACAAGAAAATATGTTCCAGATTTCGAGCTGTGTAAAACAGAAATATTTAAGAGGTGTATGATTTAGCTTAGGAGGTCGTGGTGCAAAGAAGTTTTCTTAAAAAACGCTTGAGCCTCCACCCCCTCCACCCCGACACGGAGGTCCATACAGTAGACGTAACTAATCAGTGAGTGAGTATGGTTTTACGCCGCTTTAAGCAATATTCCAGCAATATCACGGCGGGGGACACCAGAAATGGGCTTCACACATTGTACCCATGTCGGGAATCGAACCCGGGTCTTCGGCATGACGAGCGAATGCTTTAACCACTAGACTACCCGACCGCCCCTCGTAACTAATCAAATATACAGCTTTGTAGTACCAGGCCGTTTTCATCAAATAAGAAATGGTCGGAATAAAAAAGATGTACAAAAACAACCTCCTCCATCACTGTTGCCCTCAGGGGATTCCGGGTCAACTACCCGTGGTTGTCATGGTAGAGACTAAGATGATTGATTGTTTGTTTGTTTGTTTATTTGTTTGTTTAACTCAGCAATATTCCAGCTATATGACGGCGGTCTGTAAATAATCGAGTCTGGACCAGACAATCCAGTGATTGACATCATGAGCATCGATCCTCGCAATTGGGACACGATGACATGCATCAACCAGGTCAGCGAGCCTGACCACCCGATCCCGTTAGTCGCCTCTTACGACAAGCATAGTCGCCTTTTACGGCAAGCATGGGTTGCTGAAGACCTATTCTACCCCGGATCTTCACGGGTCTACGATGATTGATGATTACAGCGTTCACTGGTTTGTCTGGTTCAGACTCTGTTGTTTCCAGACTGTCATGAAATTGCTGACGTAGTGGCAATGCAGTCGTAAAACAACATTCGCTCACTGGTGTCCACTTATCAGTTTATAGAAATTGTAATCACTTTAGTCATCTGAAGAGTGAGTGAGTGAGTTGGGTTCAACGCCGCTTTAACAGTATTCCAGTTATATCACGGCGTGTAAACTTAATGTGAGGAAAGCCCGAAGTGATGCATGTCGGTGAAACCCACGAGCACGGGTATGGTGCTGACAAACCTTAAACATAATCGGGGCGAACCGGGATTCGATCTCACAATCATAGGTTTCTGGCGTGCCTAAGGGACGCAACTCTGCACAGCGAATCGCGGCGCCTTAGACGACTGGGCCACCCGTGCCCCCCAGTCATCTGAAGATGGCTTTACAATGAGAGCAAGGTACTCTAACCCCCAAAATACATTCGTCACTGACATAAACATATTGTAATGGTTGAATTAATATTTATTTTCAGGTAGAAAGAGACGAGAGAATTTTAGAATCACTGAGAAAAATCTAGACTTGCAAAACTATTATGGACGTGCAAGGATGAGGAAGAGAATGTATGGATGTCAACTTCTTTAATGAGGAACACAACGTTTCGGAGTATATACTGACTCCATCGCCGTATTAACTTCTTTACTTCATAACATCTCCTGATGAAGGAGTAAGTAAAGACCCCGAAACTTTGTGTTCCTCATAATAAAGAAGTTGACATCCATACATTCTCTTCCTTATGTGTATCACTTTTAAAAGCCTTTCAAAGACTTGCAAGGATGGTTTGTATATCTTTGTTTGATGATATACCGTTATAGACCACTGGGTCCACTTGCACAAAGCGATCTTAGCGCTACGACTACCTTAGTATATACCTTAGGAGTATGGGAGTAACATTCATCGCGGCTCAAGTTTGTTTGTTTGTTGTTTAACGCCGCACTCAGCAATATTGCAGCTACATGACGGCCGTCTGTAAATAATCGAGTCTGGACCAGACAATCCGGTGGTTGATATCATGAGCATCGATCCACGCAATAGGGATCGATGACATGCAAAAACCAAGTCAGCGAGCCTGACCACCCGATCCCGTTAGTCGCCTTTTGCGACGAGTATAGTCGCCTATCACAGTAAGCATGGGTTGCTGAAGACCCATTCTCCCCCGGATCTTCACGGGTCTCGTGGCTCTAAGCTGGCTTTATGTTAGTGGGCCATTTAGTCTTGTGTGTGTCATTCATGCATCCCCCAGTGTTATACTGGTTATGCTTGGCTCGTAGTGGGTGAGTGAGTGAGTGAGTGAGTGAGTGTGAGCATATAGCAGGACTTGGAGTAGGACTCGCTGATCACAATTCCATGAAGTAAAATCAGTTTTCAGAGGATATGAGAAGCATCCAACCACTGCTTGAATTACCCCGCCTAGTACAGAGAATATTGTTTTCTGATAAAATTAATGTTCATAAAAATCTCGTGAAGAGATGAAGTTAAAATTCAAGAGCACGCTCGATGTATGGTAGGGTTTCAGATTTACCAGAGAGTGTCATATAAATATACAGTGAAACTTCTAACTACGAACTATATGTCGTTTCAGACGATGTCACTTGAGGCAAACGAGCGAAACCTTATCAGTACTCCGTTTGTGACGAACTATGTTTAACCCGATAGATTGTGTATGTTCGCTGTATATCCCCCGATGTATACACGTGGAACCGGCCAGTGTCATGGCGAGGATACATGTGCGAGGTTCCCACAACAACATTGGCTCAACAGTGGCTCAACCGTATCCACGTTATCTCGGACATGCCGGGAGGTTCAGGTCGCCGAATATGTTCATCTCGAAGAGACACGACACTCCTATGACGACGACGTAGGTGAATATGCAGAACATGCCGAGCTTCACATTCAGCTTCCAGCGGTTGACGAAGAGCGCCGCGATGAGGAGCGCCACCGTCACCAGCAAGATGATGGAGTCGTACAACAGGGCCCCGCTGCTGATGGTGACGGTCTCGCCTACGTTGACTGCGGCGGTCTCCAGTAACCATGGTAACCCCAGGCACATGAGAATGTTGAAGACGTTGCTTGCGATGGAATTCGAGACGGCCATGTCACCGAGGCCTATAGAGAAGGAGATGGCAATAAAAGAAATCGTGTATCGTATATAATGTAACATGCATCGAATGTGATGTACCATGTATCGTATACAATGTACCATGTATCGTTTGTAATGTACCATGTATCGTATATAATGTACCATGTTCCGTATCTAATGTACCATGTTCCCTATGTAGTGTACCATGTATCGTATATAATGTACCATGTATCGTATATAATGTACCATGTATCGTTTATAATGTACCATGTTCCGCATCTAATGTACCATGTATCGTTTATAATGTATCGTGTATCTTATATAATGTACCATGTATCGTTTATAATGTACCATGCATCGAATGTGATGTACCATGTATCGTTTATAATGTATCGTGCATCTTATATAATGTACCATGTATCGTTTATAATGTACCATGTTCCGCATCTAATGTACCATGTATCGTTTATATTGTACCATGCATCGAATGTGATGTACCATGTATCGTTTATAATGTATCGTGTATCTTATATAATGTACCATGTATCGTTTATAATGTACCATGTTCCGTATCTAAAGTACCATGTATTGTTTATAATTTACCATGCATCGAATGTGATGTACCATGCATCGTATATAATGTACCAGTTATCGTTTATAATGTACCATGTTCCGTATGTAGTGTACCATGTATCGTATATAATGTACCGTATATCGTAAATAATGTACCATGCATCGAATGTGATGTACCATGTATCGTATATAATGTACCATGTATCATTTATAATGTACCATGTTCCGTATCTAATGTACCATGTATCGTATATAAAGAATAATCTATCGTTTATAATGTACCATGTATCGTATATAATGTACCATGTTCCGTATCTAATGTACCATGTTCCCTATGTAGTGTACCATGTATCGTATATAATGTACCATGTTCCGTATCTAATGAACCATGTGTCGTATATAATGTACCATGTTCCGTATCTAATGAACCATGTGTCGTATATAATGTACCATGTTCCGTATCTAATGTACCATGTGTCGTATATAATGCACCATGTTCCGTATCCAATGTACCATGTTCCGTATCTAATGTACCATGTTCCCTATGTAGTGTACCATGTATCGTATATAATGTACCGTGTTCCGTATCTAATGAACCATGTGTCGTATATTATGTACCGTGTTCCGTATCTAATGTACCATGTGTCATATGCAAAGTATCCTGTCATGTACGATGTATCGTACAATATTAATGTTAACTTATATCACTCACTAGCACACTCAAACTGACTGACTGACTCACACACGCACTCTCACTCACTCACACTCAAAGAGGCACTCTCACACACTGAGTTACACACACACTCACACATATTCACTTACCCACATTCACACCCTTACTGGCTTACACACACACACTCACACACTGACTGACTTACACACACACACTCACACACTCACACTCAAAGAGGCACTCTCACACACTGAGTTACACACACACTCACACATATTCACTTACCCACATTCACACCCTTACTGGCTTACATACACACACTCACACACTTACTGACTTACACACACACACTCACACCCTTACTGGCTTACACACACACACACTCACACCCTTACTGGCTTACACACACACACACTCACACCCTTACTGGCTTACACACACACACACTCACACACGTACTGGCTTACACACACACACTCACACCCTTACTGGCTTACACACACACACTCACACCCCTACTGGCTTACACACACACACTCACACCCTTACTGGCTTACACACACACACTCACACACGTACTGGCTTACACACACACACACACTCACACAATTACTGACTTACACACACACACTCACACCCTTACTGGCTTACACACACACACTCACGCCCTTACTGGCTTACACACACACACTCACACACGTACTGGCTTACACACACACACACACACACTCACACACTTACTGACTTACACACACACGCTCACACCCTTACTGGCTTACACACACACACTCACACCCTTACTGGCTTACACACACACACTCACACACTCACACTCAAAGAGGCACTCTCACACACTGAGTTACACACACACTCACACATATTCACTTACCCACATTCACACCCTTACTGGCTTACACACACACACTCACACACTTACTGACTTACACACACACACTCACACCCTTACTGGCTTACACACACACACACACACACACACACACACACTTACTGACTTACACACACACACTCACACACTCCCACTCAAAGAGGCACTCTCACACACTGAGTTACACACACACTCACACATATTCACTTACCCACATTCACACCCTTACTGGCTTACACACACACACTCACACACTTACTGACTTACACACACACACTCACACCCTTACTGGCTTACACACACACACACTCACACACTTACTGACTTACACACACACACTCACACTCAAAGAGGCACTCTCACACACTGAGTTACACACACACTCACACATATTCACTTACCCACATTCACACCCTTACTGGCTTACACACACACACTCACATACTTACTGACTTACACACACACACTCACACCCTTACTGGCTTACACACACACACTCACACCCTTACTGGCTTACACACACACACTTACTGGCTTACACACACACACTCACACACTTACCGACTTACACACACACACACTCACACACGTACTGGCTTACACACACACACTCACACACTTACTGGCTTACACCCACACATTCACACCCTTACTGGCTTACACACACACACTCACACACTTACTGACTTACACACACACACTCACACACTTACTGACTTACACACACACACACTCACACCCTTACTGGCTTACACACACACACACACACACACACTTACAGACTTACACACACACACACTCACACACGTACTGGCTTACACACACACACACTTACTGGCTTACACCCACACATTCACACCCTTACTGGCTTACACACACACACTCATACACTTACTGACTTACACACACACACTCACACACTTACTGACTTAATCACACACTTACTGGCACACAAACATATTCACTGACACACAAAATCACTGACTCACACATTCACATACTGGCTTATACACTCACACACTGTCTTTCGTACTTAAACACTCACACACATATTCACTGGAACACACACATATTGACGTACACACTCACACACTTACTGACTTACCCACTCACACTATTATTAGGAAGGCTCTGTAATAACGATTGTAACTCAATAACAAAGGATCTATTTTGTGCTCACTCGGTTACCAACGATATTGTCAATATTAGCCTTGCTGTAGGCATATGTAACATCCTTCTGTATACTGCTAAAGAATATCATTTAGATAACTATACCAAAAATACACTGATAGTGGTTCATTCCCAACTAATTCGAGATAGACTAGCATAATGAGAGATAGACTAGCAAAGAGACAATGCATCTCTATCCACAATTACGACAACCCCTGCAACTTTGTATTAAAATCGGATCAAGAGCAAACGTGTCGAAAGAATGCAACCATTGCAATAGACATTGCTGTGACTATGAAGTCATTTCTTCTCATGTCTGATTGATACACATCGGTGCAGATGTTCATGACTTGATTGACTAAATTTATTACGATACTTGGCAAAGCATCATACTGTCTTTCTGCCACTTTATATGGAATTTGAAGAAATACCTTATCTATCACTGGCAAATTCTCACACTTATTCACTGGCACATTTACACACTTATTCTATGGCACGCTCACACATTTATTCTATGGCATACTCACACACTTACTGCCCCACACACTCACACACTTATTCACTGGCACACTCACACACTTATTCACTGTTCTTGACTTAATTGACTAAATTTATTACGATACTTGGCAAAGCATCATACTGTCTTTCTGCCACTTTATATGGAATTTGAAGAAATACCTTATCTATCACTGGCAAATTCTCACACTTATTCACTGGCACATTAACACACTTATTCACTGGCACATTCGCACACTTATTCACTGGCACACTCACACACTTATTCACTGGCACATTCCATACTTATTCACTGGCACACTCACACACTTATTCGCTGGTACATTCACACACTTATTTACTGGCACATTCGCACACTTATTCACTGGCACACTCACACATCTTTTCACTGGCATACTCACACACTTACTGCCCCACACACTCACACACTTATTCACTGGTACATTCACACACTTATTCACTGGTATACTCACACACTTATTCACTGGCACATTTACACACTTATCCACTGGCACGCTCACACATTTATTCACTGGCATACTCACACACTTACTGCCCCACACACTCACACACTTATTCACTGGCACACTCACACACTTATTCACTGTTCTTGACTTGATTGACTAAATTTATTACGATACTTGGCAAAGCATCATACTGTCTTTCTGCCACTTTATATGGAATTTGAAGAAATACCTTATCTATCACTGGCAAATTCTCACACTTATTCACTGGCACATTAACACACTTATTCAATGGCACGCTCACACATTTATTCTATGGCATACTCACACACTTACTGCCCCACACACTCACACACTTATTCACTGGCACTCACACACTTATTCGCTGGTACATTCACACACTTATTCATTGGCACAATCGCACACTTATTCACTGGCACACTCACACATTTATTCACTGGCATACTCACACACTTACTGCCCCACACACTCACACACTTATTCACTGGTACATTCACACACTTATTCACTGGTATACTCACACACTTATTCACTGGCACATTCACACACTTATCCACTGGCACGCTCACACATTTATTCACTGGCATACTCACACACTTACGGCCCCACTCACTCACACACTTATTCACTGGCACACTCACACACATATTCACTGGCACACTCACACACTTATTCACTGGTACACTCACACACTTATTCACTGGCACATTCACACACTTATTCACTGGCACACTCACACACTTATTCACTGGCACACTCACACACTTATTCACTGGTACATTCACACACTTATTCACTGGCACGCTCACGCATTTATTCACTGGCATACTCACACACTTACTGCCCCACACACTCACACACTTATTCGCTGGCACACTCACACACTTATTCACTGGTACATTCACACACTTATTCACTGGCACACTCACACACTTATTCACTGGCACATTCACACACTTATTCACTGGCACATTCACACACTTATTCACTGGCACACTCACACACATATTCACTGGCACATTCACACACTGCCTTACACACTCACACACTGATTTCCGTACTTACACACTCACACACTGACTTCCGTACTTACACACTCACATTCACACACTGCCTTACACATTCACACACTGCCTTACACACTCACACACTGACTTCCGTACTTACACACTCACATTCACACACTGCCTTACACATTCACACACTGCCTTATACACTCACACACTGACTTCCGTACTTACACACTCACACACTGACTTCCGTACTTACACACTCACACACTGACTTCCGTACTTACACACTCACACACTGACTTCCGTACTTACACACTCACACACTGACTTCCGTATTTACACACTGCCTTATACACTCACACACTGACTTCCGTACTTACACACTCACACACTGACTTCCGTACTTACACACTCACACACTGACTTCCGTACTTACACACTCACACACTGACTTCCGTAACTACACACTCACACACTGACTTCCGTACTTACACACTCACACACTGACTTCCGTACTTACACACTCACACACTGACTTCCGTACTTACACACTCACACACTGACTTCCGTACTTACACACTCACACACTGACTTCCGTATTTACACACTGCCTTATACACTCACACACTGACTTCCGTACTTACACACTCACACACTGACTTCCGTACTTACACACTCACACACTGACTTCCGTACTTAAACACTAACATTCACACACTCAGACGCTGACTCGCTGACTCACCATCCCTGGCCACATACAGGCTGGCCAGACAGTCCGGGACACTGGTGCCAGCAGACAGGAGCGTCAGACCCATCACCGTGTCCGGGATCTCTAGCGCATCACCTGGTCACACAACACCACTGGTTACATAGCAACACCTGGTCACACAACACAACTGGTTACATAGCAACACCTGGTTACACAACACCACTGGTTACATAGCAACACCTGGCTACGCAGCCACACCTGGTTACACAACAACACCTAGTTACATAGCAACGCCTGGTTACGCAACAACACCTGGTTTTACAACAACACCTGGTTACATAGCAACGCCTGGTAACACAACAACACCTGGTTGAACAACAACACCTGGTTACACAACAACACCTGGTAACACAACAACACCTAGTTACACAACACCACCTGGTTAATCAACAACGCCTGGTTACATAGCAACGCCTGGTTACACACCAACACCTGGCTACAACAAAAACACTGATTACACAACAACACTGGTTACACAACAACACCTGATTAATCAACAACACCTGATTACATAGCAACGCCTGGTTACACAACACCTGGTTACACAGAAACACGGATTACACAACAACACTGGTTACACAACAACACCTGATTAATCAACAACGCTTGGTTACATAGCAACGCCTGGTTACACAACAACACCTGGTTACACAAAAACACTGATTACACAACAACACTGGTTACACAACATCACCTGGTTACAAAGCAACACCTGGTTACACAACAACACCTGGTTACACAAAAACACTGATTACACAACATCACCTGGTTACAAAGCAACACCTGGTTACACAACAACACCTGGTTACACAACAACACCTGGTAACACAACAACACCCAGTTACACAACACCACCTGGTTAATCAACAACGCCTGGTTACATAGCAACGCCTGGTTACACAACAACACCTGGTTACACAAAAACACTGATTACACAACAACACTGGTTACACAACAACACCTGATTAATCAACAACGCCTGGTTACATAGCAACGCCTGGTTACACAACAACACCTGGTTACACAAAAACACTGATTACACAACAACACTGGTTACACAGCATCACCTGGTTACAAAGCAACACCTGGTTACACAACAACACCTGGTTACACAACAACACCTGGTTAATCAACAACGCCTGGTTACATAGCAACGCCTGGTTAACACCAACACCTGGTTACACAACAACACCTGGTTACACAACAACACCTGGTTACAAAACAACACCTGGTTACACAACAACGCCTGGTTACATAGCAACGCCTGGTTAAACACCAACGCCTGGTTACACAGAAACACTGATTACACAACAACACTGGTTACACAACAACACCTGATTAATCAACAACGCTTGGTTACATAGCAACGCCTGGTTACACAACAACACCTGGTTACACAAAAACACTGATTACACAACAACACTGGTTACACAACATCACCTGGTTACAAAGCAACACCTGGTTACACAACAACACCTGGTTACACAAAAACACTGATTACACAACATCACCTGGTTACAAAGCAACACCTGGTTACACAACAACACCTGGTTACACAACAACACCTGGTAACACAACAACACCTAGTTACACAACACCACCTGGTTAATCAACAACGCCTGGTTACATAGCAACGCCTGGTTACACAACAACACCTGGTTACACAAAAGCACTGATTACACAACAACACTGGTTACACAACAACACCTGATTAATCAACAACGCCTGGTTACATAGCAACGCCTGGTTACACAACAACACCTGGTTACACAAAAACACTGATTACACAACAACACTGGTTACACAGCATCTCCTGGTTACAAAGCAACACCTGGTTACACAACAACACCTGGTTACAAAACAACACCTGGTTAATCAACAACGCCTGGTTACATAGCAACGCCTGGTTAACACCAACACCTGGTTACACAACAACACCTGGTTACACAACAACACCTGGTTACACAACAACGCCTGGTTATATAGCAACGCCTGGTTAAACACCAACGCCTGGTTACACAACAATACCTGGTTACACAACAACACTTGTTACACAACAACGCCTGGTTACATAGCAACGCCTGGTTAGACAACAACACCTGGTTACACAACAACACTGGTTACACAACAACACTGGTAACACAGCATCACCTGATTAATCAACAATACCTGGTAACACAACAACGCCTGGTTACATAGCAACGCCTGGTTACACAACAACACCTGGTTACACAACAACACCTGGTTACAAAGCAACACCTGGTTACACAACAACGCCTGGTTACATAGCAACGCCTGGTTAAACACCAACGCCTGGTTACACACTAACACCTGGTTACACACTAACACTGATTACACAACAACACCTGGTTACACAACAACACCTGGTTACACAACAACACCTGGTTACACAACAACACTGATTACACAACAACACCTGGTTACACAACAACACCTGGTTACACAACAACACCTGGTTACACAACAACACCTGGTTACACAAAAACACTGATTACACAACAACACTGGTTACACAACATCACCTGGTTACACAAAAACAGCTGGTTACACAACAACACCTGGTTACACAACAACACCTGGTTACACAAAAACACTGATTACAGAACAACACTGGTTACACAACAACACCTGATTAATCAACAACGCCTGGTTACATAGCAACGCCTGGTTACACAACAACACCTGGTTACACAACAACACTGATTACACAACAACACCTGGTTACACAACAACACCTGGTTACACAACAACACCTGGTTACACAAAAACACTGATTACACAACAACACTGGTTACACAACATCACCTGGTTACACAAAAACACCTGGTTACACAACAACACCTAGTTACACAACAACACCTGGTTACACAAAAACACTGATTACAGAACAACACTGGTTACACAACAACACCTCATTAATCAACAACGCCTGGTTACATAGCAACGCCTGGTTACACAACAACACCTGGTTACACAGAAACACTGGTTACACAACAACACTGGTTACACAACAACACCTGGTTACACAACAACACCTGGTTACACAAAAACACTGATTATACAACAACACTGGTTACACAACATCACCTGGTTACACAAAAACACCTGGTTACACAACAACACCTGGTTACACAACAACACCTGGTTACACAACAACACCTGGTTACACAAAAACACTGATTACACAACAACACTGGTTACACAACAACACCTGATTAATCAACAACGCCTGGTTACACAGCAACGCCTGGTTACACAACAACACCTGGTTACACAAAAACACTGATTACACAACAACACTGGTTACACAACATCACCTGGTTACAAAGCAACACCTGGTTACACAACAACACCTGGTTAGTGAGGCGAAATTGGGTTTAACGTAGCGTCCAAGATTATTGCACTCATATAGCGACGTGCATGCACGTGTGTGTGGCTGCTTGTACTAGTCCGGGCTAATGCCGATTTATAATGCTATCTTACTGGGATACCATGCCGCAGTTTAACACGAATACCCCACTCAGACACAGTATACTGACTCCGTGCCGACCAGTCCTTGTTTTAGCCCCTTAATGCCGAGCCCCAGACAGGGTAACAAGCACAATATTTTAACGTCTTTTGGTGTGACGCGGCCGGGGATCGAATCTCCGGGCGGACGCTCTACCACTAGACCACGGAGGCGGCCTTAAATTCATGACATGTCGTGGCATTACCGAAACACTGGTCAAAGCGGTGCTAAATCCACATAGCTACCAGGCCGGCTGTTAACGAGTGACAATTAAGAGCACATGCCTGCTCAGTGACATGTGTGGTGGTAATACGTGGATGCACGCCATGTATACTACTCAAAAGAAGTTAAGGATCACCGGATTCTTTCATATTACTATAGTTAATCTCTCATGTCAGATTAGCTTTACCATTATGAAAGTATCGGGTGATCCTTAACTTCTTTTGAGTACAGTAAACTACGGTTATAACGAACACGCTTATAACGAACTGACGGATATAACGAACTTACTTTTTAGTCCCGACTATTTGCTGTAATTATGCTGTATATATGCTTATAACGAACTATGTTTATAACGAACTAAAAATAATAGTCCCTTTGAGTTCGTTATAACCGTGTTTTACTGTAGTATACATTAATGTTGAACCAAGGGAGAAAATCACCCGCAATCGTGACCATCCAGACCAACAAATAGGAGAAGATGGCGATCCAGAGAACAGACATGAAAAAGGTGACGAGGTACATCTTCCTCCACGTCGTCCGACGTCGGCAGTCCGGTACCGTCAGGAACAACAACACTTTCACGGGAACCATGGCAACCCAAAATATTCTCAGGAAGATGGAATCCGGGATAATCCAAGGAGAATGGTGATTGGGCACTGTAAAAACAAACAGCAGAATTTTACAGGTATTGAGTGAGTGTTTCAGCAATGCCGAAGGTAGGAACATCCCAAGTGGCTTTGTTAAACAGCAACGTTAAGTGAACGATATTACCACCGCCCCATGTACAAGGAAAATTATACACTACCGGTCTAAAGAAAGTATTCACTTCAAAAATGGATTTGACCAAAACATTACAAACGTTATCAAAACGTTACTAGGCTGAAAACAGTCGCTATATCACTGCTATATCACTGCAAAGTTAAGGTCCCGGCTGTGATACCCACAAATACACCATCATCGTATAAAAACTTCTTGTACACACGGGTGTATACGTTGTGTATGTGTATTTGTATACTTTGTGTATGAATGTTTTTTAACAACAGAGAATACCCCCTGTTCGTTTTGAATTATGAATTAGTCAGCTGAACACACGTGTCGCCTTTAATTCCCTAAACTGGGACCTCAAAGTGACACTTTTATACTATTTTCTATGTCATTTTTGTTTGTTTTGAACTCGGCAATATTTCAGCTATATGACGGTAGTCTGTAAATAGTCAAGTCTGGACAAGACAGTCCAGTGATTGACATCATGAGCATCGATCTACGCAATTATGGTACGATGACATGCATCAACGAAGTCGGCGAACCACCCGATACCGTTAGTCGCCTCTTACGACAAGCATAGTCGCCTTTTACGACAAGCATAGTCGCCGCTTACGACAAGCATAGTCGCCGCTTACGACAAGCATAGTCGCCTCCTACAAGCATAGTTGCCTCTTACGACAAACATAGTCGCCTCTTACGACAAGCATAGTCGCCTCTTACGACAAGTATAGTCGCCTCTTACGACAAGCATGGGTTGCTGAAGACCTATCCCCTTCACGGGGAATTTTCTATATCAGTTTTGTTAAAGATTATATGCTATTAATTTCATGAAGGACGTTTTTAGGAACCACGGAACTTTAGGAAGGTTTGTTGATATATTTACAGGACTTGTCAGAAGATGAGGAGGCGCTGATTTCGTGGGATTCGCTGATGGCCTCCGATTGTGTGGAACGACTTTCAACATCGGAATAACTCGTTTCCACGTCAACACCTTCGCTTGAAATCGAACGTCTCCGTTTTCCCCGCAGCAAGGGCGTCTTAACCTCGCTGTCGTCCAGGTCAGATGATCCCTTCACGCATGACCGGAAGCCGTTAACCGCCTTTTGTGCGATGTGTTCAAGTTTCCGGTTAAAGGCCAGAATAACGAAGTAGATAATACACATCACTAACAAAGTCATGGCCTCGAACCTGCAACAGTGACGGAGTTAGGTTTAATGCGACGTCGAACAGTATTTGAACATATTTTGATAATGTTAACAAAAGAATCACAAAAAGCGAATCTTGGATTTGAAACCAAAATTATCGATCATAGATCCTTCCTATCCAGTCTAGAATCCAATTCAGCCAGGGCTTTAATGTCTTTGCGAAATATTTGATATATCCAAATGCCAGCCAAACCGTTTGTCTCAACGTGTTATCAATGTATATTTCCATTCTGTCCTACCTGGTACCCATATATTGCTGGCTGCACACGAAATCTTAAATTTGCAAACTGTGAGGTGAATCTATATTAAATTCCCATTAATGTCCTTGTAATCTTACCATTCCACGACGCCATCTTGGATGACGATGACCAGTGCCAGTACAGAAAACAGGTAGAACAGAGTGTCTCTGAAGACGGGCCACCACGTGAGTTGCACCACCTGTAAACACGTGAGTCTTTTAGTACAAGCCTCCTGTGACCTCTGACGTATTATGATTGACTTCTGATGATTGATACTGCCTGGTTCACCTCTGATGATCGTCACTGCCTGATTAACCCCACGTCACCTCTGATGATCGTCACTGCCTGATTAACCCCACGTCACCTCTGATGATCGTCACTGCCTGGCCACCCCCACGTCACCTCTGATGATCGTCACTGCCTGATTAACCCCACGTCACCTCTGATGATCGTCACTGCCTGGTCACCCCCACGGCACTTCTGATGATCGTCACCCCCACGTCAACTCTGATGATCGTCACCCCCACGGCACTTCTGATGATCGTTACTGCCTGGTCACCCCCGCGTCACCTCTGATGATCATCACTGCCTGGTCACCCCTACGTCACCTCTGATGTTCGTCACTGCCTGGTCATCCCCACGTCACCTCTGATGTTCGTCACTGCCTGGTCAACACCCACGTCAACTCTGATGATCATCACTGCCTGGTCATCCCCACGTCACCTCTGATGTTCGTCACTGCCTGGTCACCCCCACGTCACCTCTGATGATCATCACTGCCTGGTCACCCCTACGTCACCTCTGATGATCATCACTGCCTGGTCATCCCCACGTCACCTCTGATGTTCGTCACTGCCTGGTCACCCCCACGTCACCTCTGATGATCGTCACTGCCTGGTCACCCCCACGTCACCTCTGATGATCGTCACTGCCTGGTCACCCCCACGTCACCTCTGATGTTCGTCACCCCCACGTCACCTCTGATGATCGTCACTGCCTGGTCACCCCCACCTCACCTCTGATGATCGTCAACCCCACCTCACCTCTGATGGGGTTCCTACTAACTTCATAATGACATGTAACTCCGCTGAAGTAGAGGTTCATGTTTACAACTTGTAATAACCTGTCTCTCGGGTATCTGGTACAGACATAATGTATTGGGTTGTGAAACAGAATGTATATGTTGCATGTAATGGTTAAGCGTATGCAGTACCATGACACCTACGGGTACCGAAAGTGACGACAGTACAATTTTACTGTGTTTCGCCAGGTGTGACATATGGTAATTATTTGCATCAATGGCTGTGATCAGTTGTTGGGTGGTTGGTTGTTTTACGCCGCACTGAGCAATATTCCAGCTATATGACGGCGGTCTGTAAATAATCGAATCAAGACCAGACAATCCAGTGATTGATATCACAAGCATCGATCCACGCAATTGGGATCGATGGCATGCATCAACCAAGTCCGCGAGCCTGACCACCCTGTCCCGTTAGTCGCCTCTTACGACAAGCATAGTCACCTTTTACGGCAAGCATGGGTTGTTGAAGGCCTATTCTAACCCTGATCTTCACGCGTCACGCCGCTTTGAACACTGTTCCGGTCATAACACGTCATAACGTAAGTCGTTCTCCTCTTTTGTGAGGTGAAGTGAGGTGAGGTGAGGTGAGTCCTTGTTTTGGCCCCTTAATGCCGAGCGCCAGACAGGGTAACAACAAGTACCATCTTTTAACGTCTTTTGGTATGACGCGGCCGGGGATCGAACCCCGGACCTTCCGCTCTCCGGGCGGACGCTCTACCACTAGACCACGGAGGCGGTCCCTCTTTTGTAAAACCAACCAGCATGTGTATTGGACTTACAAACCAAGGATCATGGGCTGCTGAAAACGTATTCTTACCCGGATCTTCACGGGTAGGCTGATCAAAGAAACCCGGTGCAAAGCAAAAAACACCCAAAACCTTCCACATCAGTCAGGCCGTATGACACCTGGCAGGCATGTCAACTATTCCTGTTTGATATTCACGTTGCGTACACAGAATAAAATATTGTGTAAAAAATGATTGAGTATTCTAAAAGGAATATAATGTATGCGGCAAAAAGTTAATGATATACATACCACGCCAGCGAATATACCACAGACGCCGATTATAAAGAGGAGGTTAAATATTGCTGAACCAACGATCGTGCCGACCCCGATGTCACTCTTGGCGATGAACACACCTGTTGCGAACAGAATATAATGATGGACTCAAGTTGGTGAATTTACAAATTATAAATATTAACTCTATGCCAGGTTGCGGATGTTCAGCGGTCTGCTACAACCTGATGGTGCCACCACAGTGAGTGAGTGAGTGAGTGAGTGAGTGGGTGAGTGGGTGGGTGGGTGGGTGGGTGTTTTGGTGAGTGAGTGAGTGAGTGAGTGGTAGATTGAGTGAGTGGGTGAGTGAGTGGGTGGGTGGGTGGGTGGGTGTTTTGGTGAGTGAGTGAGTGAGTGGGTGGGTGATTGAGTGAGTGGGTGAGTGAGTGAGTGAGTGAGTTGCTCAATCTGGAGTTCCTTTCTATGCTCGTAAACACGGGAGATAAACTCAGGTTTAAGGTGAGACCAACCTGCCGCTCTGTAGTTATGAGAAAGGATATAGTGAGTTTTCTCACATTGTACCTATGTGGGAATCGGACCCGGGTTGTAGGCGTGACGAGCGAACGCTTTAACCACTAGGCTACCCCATCGCTCCTGTACGATAAAGAGTTGATGAGTGATTGTTGTTGAACGCCGCAGTTAGTAATATATTCCAGCTGTATCTCGGCGGTCCGTGAGTCTGGGCAGGGAAACCAGAGATTGAAGACATGAGCAACGATCCGTGCCCCTGAGGCTCGACGATAAGCCATCAGCGGTCACAGAGTCTGACAATTGAATAAACGTGACACTTTGTTGTACACGGTTGTATGATTGCGACTATAACCTAGGTTGTGTTTATAAATCAGTGTCACATGGTGATGATACAGGTTGCATGTATCCTGCGCCAACGGTTGCATTCGTCCCAAACACATGCACAGGCAAGTCAATTGTTCACCTGAATAAACGCGGTAACATGTGACACAAGTCAAAGGAGTGAATTGCATCGGACAAATTTGTGTCACTGACGTGTCAAATTGGGAAATAGTCTCCGAATGTCTGCCATGAAACGTTTGAACGCTTTACTAATGTAACCCTGATCAAACAACTTTTGAAGTCAACTCCACTGGTCGTTCGGATAGCCCGGATGTTGGGGTATCTTTGTTAAACTGCGGCATGGTATCTCAGCGGGCTAGCACTATAAAGCCGGCGTAAGTCCCGACTAGAGCACACACGCACGCACGCGAGAGCACACACACACACACACACACACACACACACACACACACACACACACACACACACACACACACACACACACACACACACACACACACACGCACGCACGCACGCACACACACACGCACACACACACACACACACACACACTTGCGTGGATGTAATAATCTTGGACGCGACGTTAAACCCCATTTCCCCTCACCCCACCTTCACCATCTGACGGAGGACGACATAACCACAGGCGCTAGTGCGCTCACCCCCATCCTTGTACAAACGTCACATAAATTTAAATATTCACTGGTAATATATACTCGGCAAATAAACGTACATCAAACTGATATTTATCAGTTGGAAAATGCACCATTCATTATATATCCTCTCTCCCCCGAATCTCTCTCTCTTTAAGCTCTCTCTGGTGTAGTCTCTCACCTATTATAGATGTGAAGAATTCTGCAGCTGAGCTTCCCGCCGCCATGAAAGTTGCCCCGGCAACATCCGCCTCAATTTGTAAATCTGAAACAGATTGTATAATCAACTTGTTTTCAGATCTGATCATGTACACCAACCATATACAATTTTAAATTATGTTATAAATATATATTCTACGTCATAGCTGTTGCAGTTTCGAGTGTTTCAAATGTCAAGGTAAGTTGGATGCAGAAGCTATACACTTCTTGTTGTTTGTTTGAGAAAAGCGATGATCGCCACAGCCAAATCGAGACAAAGAAAGGGAAGAAAATCTCCAGATTGCAAATATTTACTGAGATAGAAAATTCTGAGAAGTAGCCTGCATGGACTGCTATTCTAGTTTCGTATTTGGTATTGTTGGTATTACCGCGGCTTTGATTTGTTTGGTTGTTTGTTTGTTGTTTAACCCCGCACTCAGCAATATTCCAGCTATATGACGGTCTGTAAATAATCGAGTTTTGACTAGACAATCCAGTGACTGACATCATGAGCATCGATTGGGATACTATGACATCCATCAAGTCAGCGAGCCTGCCCACCCGATCCCGTTAGTCGCTTCTTACGACAAGCATAGTCGCCTTTTACGGCAAGCATGGATAGCTGATATCATCAAATATGAAAAATCACGTAGAAGAGGCGGTGTTGGAATAACATAAATCAAAATGGCCGAGACTGTCAATTTGCCCTTCTGTATATTAAGAATGACCAAGTAAGATAGCTAACCCTCGCATATTCTCTCAAGGGAGACAACAAAGTAATGGTCACAGAGGAGAGCCAGTGCCCCGATGAGGTAGCAAGCGATGAGGATGTGGATAACCACGCCGCCGTCCTGGGTGTCTTGCAGCGTCATGAAGTTGCCAAGGAAGTTGTCCACGGACCTAGGTGTACAGTTGAGGACGTCACCTAGAACAGAGGATGATGAGGGGAGGTGAAATGGGGTTTAACGTTCAAGCTTACTGCCCTTATATCACGACGTGCATATGCATGTGTGCGTGCGTGCGTGTGTGCGTGTGAGGAGGTTTGTGTGTGTGCGTGCGTGTGTGCGTGTGAGGAGGTTTGTGTGTGTGCGTAGCTGCTTGTGCTAGTTCGGAATTTATGGAACTAGCAGCAGTTTAACATTGAAACCCCACTCAGACACAGTCTACTGACTCCGAGCTGACCAGTCCTTGTTTCAGCCCCTTAATGCCGAGGGCCAGGCAGGGTAACAACAAGCACCATCTTTTGACGTAATTTAGTATGACGCGGGCAGGGGATCGAACCACCGACCTTCCGCTCTCAAGACACTACTAGGCCACGGGGTCCGTAATAGGATGTTGGGAAAGTATGCAGCCATCTGTAACGAGCGCTGTCCATATATGAATCTGTCCCTATGGTCCAGATTCCACATCCAATATAACGCCAGATAAGACCACATTTCAAGTCTTAAGTTACAATCTATCAAGGATTTAATTTGCAAGCACTGCTTACGGCTTTATTAACAATTCGTCTCCGAAGCAAAGCGACTCCGCCTACGCAATAAATAACTTGACAGATTTGTACCAAGTGATTTAAACTTTAAAATGTCAATGCGTCACCTGCTTGATTGTATATCTTTGCTATCAACCACTCGTTAGCTCAGAACATGCGCCCTTTGTCTGACATTCAGAGATTACAGGTAACCAATCAGTGTTCTTGAACATGGTAGTCCAGTCTCTTGTCACGCTCAGTTGCGTCAGCGAGCAAATCGACTCACGGCAGATAGTGAGCCCCAGCTGACAGTGTTAGACAGCCGAGAAGAAGATTAGTGTCCCTTTAAACCGACAAACCGGGCTATAACTGAAATATAAATACTGTGCAAAGCAGTGTTAAGCCAAACTCACTCACTTATTCAGAGCCATGCCGGTCCCCCAGGATGGATATTGGGGGTACTTTTCCAGCATAAGCATGCCTGTCATTTGGATGTTAAGGCCGCAATAAATTAATAGTTACAGTTTGATTGATTTTTTAAAATCATGGGAGACAGGAGGCATTTTATTTTTAACGTTTTATTTTGTTCTTATAGACCTACTTTAGGCTTTTGTGTACAATTGCTGTCGACGGATGCGATTCACATGCATCATGTGTGTTCAGTAGGGCTACGTGTACGGAGTATTTTATCAGATAAAGAAAGTAGGAACACTCATATTAACGATACTTCTATTTCTAGAAATTTAAGGGCATTAGAATAATGTAAGGCAGGATGTTTTGTTGTCAGGCGGGAGCGGATGAAAATCTATTAATTAAAGTAGCGAATATGGTATCGTATAAAAAACACAAAAACAACATCGGACAATATCATTTTATCTACAAATTGGTCTGTGAGAATTTTATTTTAATGAATATTCTAGCCGTGTATAAAATTGCCTCATTGAGAAACTCACTGGCTTGTGATTATTTCTGTAACTGACAGTGTAGCCGCAAATAGCTGAAATACTGCTGATGCGGCTTTAAACAATATTACTCACTCACTCACTGACGGTGATAGTTTTGTTTCCAGCTTTCGGACACATTAATGTTTTCACCATCATTGGACATTCATATACACAATTTCTTTTGTTAAATTATATTTAGTATGTTGAGGGTTTTATTATAAAGTACATAGGAAACTGTTACAACGGGAGATGACTCAGACTTTGTGTATGTAAATTACATAGCATTTTCAAGCTCAAGTCATAAGTTTGCTAAATGCTACTTGGAGAATGAAAAGCATGAAAGAAGCATGACCAAAGGACTACTAACGTGCGCATGGGCCTTGACCTTATGATATTACGCATGCGCACGGACAGCGTCTAAAACGCGAGAACACGAGAACGCGAGATCGCGAGAAAATGAAATGTCGCATTCTCGCGTTCTCGCGATTTCGTTATTTTGTGGCCTAATTTGACAAGTTGAGATTGCGAGATTGCGAGATTTTGCATCATGTCCAAATGTCGCATTCTCGCGTTGTCGACTTTTGACAAATAGTGCTATGTACCAAAAGCACGAGAATGCGAGAACGCGAGATTTTGGCCTAATCTCGCGTTCTCGCGATCTCGCATTCTCGTGTTTTGGGCATATTTACCTCGTTTCCAAAGGTCGAGATCGCGAGAATGCGCGATCGCGAAAATGTCCCTTACAGTATTCCATAGAATCCACGTGTTCAGATATTGCTAGACTATTGCTGATGAGGCGTTTCCAGTTTCCGAAAAGAAATTTCAAACGGGCGTTAAACAATAATCAGTCAGTCAACTAACTCCTACTCCGTGAATATCAGGGTTAGAACTGACTGATCTTCACCAACCCATGTTTGTCAGGCTTGCCGACTTGGTTGATGCATAACATCGTATTTCATTGCATAGATCGATGATCATGATGTCACTAGATTGTTTGGTCCAGACTTGATTATTTACAGGCCGCCGTTATTTTGCTGAAATATTGCCGAGTGCGGCGTTGAACAGCAAACAATAACAAAACGAATTTATAAACATGTAATTTTATTTCTACCTTTTTTGAAACCAATAACGAACTCGGAACAGATATATCATTAAGCCCACGGGGTGCACGCAGCCCTGCGTTATTCAGCCCTCTGGGCAATAACGGTTAAATGTATCCGTTTAAACAGCTAATTAAAGGCATCAGATTTCAATAATCGCTTGAAGCCCCTAAATGCCCATGACCGTTTCTGTACACTTAACATGAATATAATGACTCTCGATCACAGTTGGTGCTGACAGGAAGTGTCACGTGATCCCGTGTGGATTACTTGTAATCAGTCTGGACCTATTCCATGTTTATAGACACGTCTGGGTTCAACGCCGGATATTATAAGCTAAGTGAGTGAGTGAGTATGGTTTTACGCCACTTTTAGCAATATCTCAGCAATATCACGACGGGAGACACCAGAATGGGCTTCACACATTGTACCCATGTCGGGAATCGAACCCGGGTCTTCGGCGTGACGAGCGAACGCTTTAACCACTAGGCTACCCGACCGCCCCTGCTTGTGAGCTGAAGGCGCCATAAGTCTACAAGTCTACTTGTGTTTACACAAGGTTGTTGTTGTTGTTGTTGTTGTTGTTGTTGCTGTTGTCACCTAGTTCTTCTTCACTTCTCTCAAAAGCTGACGACATTTTGAAGGAGATGAATGTTAAAGTCATATCATATCCACGCATTATGTGATTGGTTGTATGCGACCAACTTATGGTTGTCAACCATTCACACGTCAAAATCGAGTTTGAAACACAAAACTACGACGACTATGCTGACTCCGTGATCCCTTTAATGTCGAGCGCCAGGCAGGGTAACAACAAGTACCATCTGCTACTACTACTACTACTACTACTACTACACACACACTTTTTGGATCGTACACTGGCATCACCCATTCGTCACCACTCGTATGTTTCCGTAACCTACAACAAGGCTTGTCCCGGAATGGGACGAATTGGTCACGAATGCAGCACGGCCAATAACGACGGACAGCAAACTGAGATCGGCAAAGCTCGTCCCTTTCCGTAACCTTGCAATGTTCAGCCCAAATTGCCGACTGTGTTGAGAGTGAGCAAACTGGAGTATGTTTACGGTGGTCGTAAACGCGGGAGAAAACCAGTTTTAGGGTGAGGTCAAATGGGGTTGGACGTGGCGTCCCGTAGTTTTAAGAAAGGGTATATGTGAATCAAGGCAGATTTGGGCTTGTTCGAGCTACACAATATTTCAAGACATTTCATCGTGGGTAAGTGGATACCGAGGGGTGGGAATAATCAGTGACTGCTTGATATCATTTACCCGGTGAGCGGAAGGCCGGTGATTCGATGCCCTGGCCGTGGCATACCGAATGACGTTAAAGATGGTACTTGCTGTTACCCTGCCTAGCGCTCGACATTAAAGGGACCACGGAGTCAGTATACTGTGTCTGAGTGGGGCATTCATCTCAGTGAGCTAGCACTATAAATACTCACTTACACTTAATCTTTAAAAATAAAAAAATGGTGATCGTATCAATGTGATCCAAAAAAATACTAACCTTCCACAAGTTCCAAGTCTCTGGCATGCCTTCTAATGCCCGGATGTAGGGAGGTTGCTTCATCACTAGATCCCTGGATCCAGTAGCGCGAGATTAACGCTAATCCCGATAATGCTAAATAGATAAAGGATATACAGCACAACGATGCCGCCCTCCTCAATAATACATCATTGGAAGAATATTTCCCCATCGGACCTTTTTAGACTTTGAATAGGTAGACACCCAAGCACGTTGCTCTCCTATGGACTATATGGTTCTTTACGCCAGTTGGGTCATGTGTCTGTACACCATGAGTGAATCACAGGCCACGGAGATGTTATTTGATGTAAACAAAGAGAATATCGGTGATTTGGTCACAGGACGCTGAAGATATCCGAGAAGATGTGAGATTATCTCCGTTTATCACCTCCCCATTGTCTGTGCCGTCAAGGTTGTCAGCCGCTGCTAGGACGGACTACAACAGATTCAGACGTGACTGTACTTGGACGTGGTCCATCCAGTTCTGTCTAACTTATCTAATCATGACAAATGGAGACTTGAATTCAAGTGTTGATAAACTTCATATGATAGCAACCCGTACAGGCAGTACTGCGGACAGTGGGTTCGTCATGGGATGTCGTTTTAGGGGCACGGATGACTCAGTGGTGTAAGTGTTGAAGAGTTGTGTCCCTTCGCAGTGTCAAGTTCACCTCTTCCAGGTTCAGAATCCAAGATTCGCTGCAATATATTTTGCCATTGTAGTTTAACGCCGCGTAATAATCCAACAAAATGACCGCGGTCTGTAAATAATCAAGTCTGGACCAGACATTCCAGTGGTTGTCATCATAAGTATCGATCCACGCACGCAATCGGGACACGATGACATGCATCAACCAATTCAGCGACTCGTTGGCGGCCCCTTACGACAGGTATGGGTTGCTGAAGATCTGTTCTAAACCGGATCTCCACGGGTGCTGTGATGGCCTGCCAACAGAACTGTGTCTGAGTGGGGTATTCATGTTAAACTGCTGCATGGTATCTCATTGGGCTAGCACTATAAAACGGGTTTCAACAACAAGAACCACTTTTTGACTTTCCCCAAAATTAAGCTGATAAAAGTGAAATGCCGAAAGTGGCGTTAAACCCATCGCTCATGATACACAGCAACCAACATGGAACCAAGATGACATCAGTGGCGCAGCTGATGTCACGCGCCTATTGCAAGACGTCACGTGATTGTGGATATACATGTAAACAGTTTTCGCAAACTGACTATAGTTTGGAGGTAGGGGATCTATTCTTGGTGTGATATAGTGAGTGAGTGAGTGAGTGAGTATGGTTTTACGCCGCTTTTAGCAATATTCCAGCAATATCACGGCGGGGGACACCAGAAATGGGCTTCACACATTGTACCCATGTCGGGAATCGAACCCAGGTCTTCGGCGTGACGAGCGAACGCTTTAACCACTAGGCTACCCGACCGCCCCCTTGGTGTGATATAACTTGATTATTGCTGTGAGTTTGTGTATGTGTGTGTTTGTCTGCTTGCACTAGCCTGGCGTATGCATGCTTCTTAGTGCTAGCGCACTCAGATACCATGACCCTGATACTGACCCCGAGTCGACCAGCCCTTCTTTGATCCCCCCAATGCCGATCGCAAGGCAGGGTAACAACAAGTACCATCTTTTAACGTCCTTTCGGTGACATGGCCTCAAGCAAGATGGAGACGTGTTTTGTTCATGGGTGAGTCCCGTTTTCCGCTGAGACGTGCTGATGGACGTGCCCGTATGTACCGACGTCGAAACGAACGTTACGCTGAAAATTGCGTTCCGCAAATGGATCGTTTTGGAGGGAGAAGCGTCATGGTGTGGGGAGGCATTCATCACGGAGGCCGGACAGGAGCTGTGAGAGTGGATGGTGCTCTGAATGGTCTACGCTACCGAGACGAGATCCTGCAGCGCCACGTTGTCCCCTTCATCAACGTCAATGGTGGCATCTTTCAGCAGGACAACGCCATACCCCACGTCGCACGTGTTTGCACAGAGTTTCTGCGTCAGAACAACGTACCTACGCTACCCTGGCCTGCCCGCTCGCCAGACTTGTCCCCTATTGAACATCTGTGGGACGTGCTGGATCGTCGTGTCCGTCAACGTCAACCACCGCCACAGACACTTCAGGAACTAGAGGAGGAGTGACAGAACATCCCCCGGGCTGTTATCTCGACTTGATTGCATCTATTGGCAGTCGCTGCCATGAGGTGATAGCAGCTCGAGGAGACTGTACTCGTTACTGACTTTCCACCTTTCCCGGACGTCTTTGCACCTGTTTTGTTAAGTGTATATTGTACAGCAATAATTTACCTATACATTCCACTATTTATAATATTTATGAAACTCGAAAAATATATCCAGTTGCAATCCTGAGAGTATACGTATATATGGCGTGCTAGCACTATTTGCATTAAAATATTTACAAACTCATTGTTTCATATTTATAAAAAAAAGAGTAAATTATGAAATGAAATGATATATTCCAGATTATTAAAACATATACTAGTAGCGAAATCGCATTATCGGTGGTTCATCTTGCCAAGGGAGGTAACTCTATTACAGTACTGATATTGCGACCTCGCAGTTAGTTTGTTCGTCATAATCAAAAACGACAAAGCTATGACAATTAGTCTTTCATTCTAACTGTGTTCGTTAAAGTGTATTTAAGGCAACTGGGTAGCCTAGTGGTTGAAGCGTTCGCTCGTACACGCCTAACGCCAGGGTTTGATGCCAGACATGGGTCCATCGTGAAGCCCTTTTCTTGTAGTCCCTCGCCTTGCTGAAAACCTGGACTATTACATGCAGTCGTGGCCTGGTGTTCATGCTATCAACCACTGGTTGCCTGGTATATGCTATATTAGTTACAGGCCGTCGTCATTAAACTGGAATATTGCTGAGTGCGCCGAAATATCACTCACTCACTCACTCGCTCGCTCGATCTCACCCACACTCACTCACTCACTCAATGAATGAATCAATCAATCACACACTCACTCAATCGTGTTTAAATTTTCATTTGAAAAAAATACAGCATTTCACATGAATATAATGAACACAAAATTAAATTATTCTCGAAAAAAGGAAAAGGAAAACATTTCCCGGTAACAGGAAATTATTTACATTCCATAAACATTAAAATACGAACAACATATTACCAAAAAAAGTAGATATTGTTTATTTTTACTGCCTTGTGACATTGTCCGACTCAGGTTGGATCATGATTTTATCGCACCGTGTACACATATAAACACGCGTTTCTACAAAGATAATACCCGCACATTTGCCTAGATATCAGCAGATATTCCAGCAAATAATATACACTACTCGACACCAGTTACCTCCCTTCGAAAGTAACGCAACTAACGCGATGAAAGATCTAATTAAAAAAGAATCTCATTTACAATATTTGTTGACGCGTGTGACGCTTACGATGGAATCCATCGATGAGAAGCGATAAATAGTTTCGCCCACCTGTGCCACGTGTATTATTCGGGTTGTCTGTCATGTGACGGAGGGTTGTGTATTTCTAATACATTGATACAAGACTAATGGGTTGAGAGAGGAAACGGACAATGGAGGGAGGGACTAGATTTGCAGAACGGTCTAGACTCACTAGACGGACTAGACAGAGGAGTAGACTTGTCAAGCTTGTACTTGTTGCGTGTGTGTATCTTTTAGGTGTTGCTGTCACAGTTGGAGTCCGCGTGATACGAGGAGAGAAAGAAGATGTGATTACACAGGAGGACGAATATAGTGAATACAGAGTAAGAAGGGCCGCCGACCTCGAAGAAGGTAAACGTTGCTCTCTGTGTAATTCCTCTCTCCATCTTAACAACAACCCCACCCCACCCCCACCCCCCACCCCCTCCCCTCCTGTCCATTCCACTCCACCAGCCCCATCTCTCGCAGGCTAACCCTCAATACCTAAGGAAGGAACATTTGCACTCATGTCTGTCTGTCTGTCTGTCTGTCTGTCTCTCTCTCTCTCTCGATTTATATCTTTATCTGTTCATTTATATATACTAGTATAGATATATATGTATATGTCAATATATAAAATTATAATTATATAAATATCTATCTATCTATCTATATTTACACACAGAGGGAGAGAGAGAGAGAGAGAGAGAGAGAGAGAGAGAGAGAGAGAGAGGGAGAGAGAGAGATTCTATGCGTGTCCAGTTTGAAATATGCACTTTCATCACCTATCTATTGCCATCTTTCCTTTTATCTGTTGACGTACTTTCCTATATTTCTGCCCACACATAGACAGTGCATCTCATATTTCGAATCGTGTTTCAATACTTTATTCAAACAATCTGTGCCTGCCATATGTATCTGCCAGAATGAAGTCGCCTTAATCCCCTCAATACCGCAAATCAAGGGTAGTTACCAATCTCGAGAATCATCGTTACTATACACCCTACAGAGCTTCCAGAGCGCTTAAGTGGGAGATCTCATGTCTGATGACAATACGTCTCGTTTATTGGCTTTTGGAGAACTCTGCATACGTCACAGAATCTAATAAGCTGTCCACAAAGAATCCTTACCAGGCAATTTACAGCAAGTGATTAACAAAAGCCATATGTCAAGGCATCTGTCATGAGGTTTTCGTATATTTAGTAGTGGTAGACCGTGTTATCCTTAGAGTTTGATGTAGTGTCTAATGTCGGCTTGAGGAGATCTGGCGTGCTGCTAGTTGAGGTGAGCTGGCAGTGTAGTGGAAATGTCAACACATGGCATGAGTCATCTCTTGGAAGCTGACATGGTTGACAGTCGCCTATAACAGATAGATAACCCACAACAGAGCTATTTGCTTTACGTAATTGATATACTTGCTTTACATGACAGACAAACAGGTTTCACATGATAAAGTCACAGGACAAACATGTTTCACATTATCGTCACTTGCTTTACATGACAGACAAACAGGTTTCACATGATAAAGTCACAGGACAAACATGTTTCACATTATAGTCACTTGCTTTACATGACAGACAAACACGTTTCACATGATAAAGTCACAGGACAAACATGTTTCACATTATAGAGTCCCTTGTTTCACGTGACAGACTAACATGTTTCACATAACAGAGACACTTGTTTGATATGACAGACTAACATGTTTCACATTATAGAGTCACTTGCTTGATATGACAGAGTAACATGTTTCACATTATAGAGTCACTTGCTTGATATGACAGAGTAACATGTTTCACATTGAAGAGTCACTTGCTTGATATGACAGAGTAACATGTTTCACATTATAGAGTCACTTGCTTGATATGACAGAGTAACATGTTTCACATTATAGAGTCACTTGCTTGATATGACAGTGTAACATGTTTCACATTATAGAGTCACTTGCTTCACATGACAGACTAACATGTTTCAGATTATAGAGGCTCTTTCTTGATATGACAGACTAACCTGTTTCACATCATAGAGTCACTTTCTTGATATGACAGACTAACATGTTTCACATTATAGAGTCACTTGCTTCACGTGACAGACTAACATGTTTCACATCATAGAGTCACTTGCTTGATATGACCGACTAACATGTTTCACATTATAGAGTCACTTGCTTCACATGACGGACTAACATGTTTCACATTATAGATCCACTTGCTTCACATGACAGACTAACATGTTTCACATTATAGAGGCACTTTCTTGATATGATAGACTAACCTGTTTCACATTATAGAGGCACTTTCTTGATATGACAGACTAACATGTTTCACATTATAGAGTCACTTTCTTGATATGACCGACTAACATGTTTCACATCATAGAGTCACTTGCTTGATATGACAGACTAACATGTTTCACATTATAGATCCACTTGCTTCACATGACAGACTAACATGTTTCACATTATAGAGGCACTTTCTTGATATGATAGACTAACCTGTTTCACATTATAGAGGCACTTTCTTGATATGACAGACTAACATGTTTCACATTATAGAGTCACTTTCTTGATATGACCGACTAACATGTTTCACATCATAGAGTCACTTGCTTGATTTGACAGACTAACATGTTTCACATTATAGAGTCACTTGCTTCACGTGACAGACTAACATGTTTCACATCATAGAGTCACTTGCTTGACATGACAGACTAACCTGTTTCACATTATAGAGTCACTTGCTTCACATAATAGACCAACATGTTTCACATTATAGAGTCACTTGCTTTACGTGACAGACTAACATGTTTCACGTAACAGAGACACTTGCTTCACATGACAGACTAACATGTTTCACATTATAGAGTCACTTGCTTCACATGACAGACTAGCATGTTTCACATTACAGAGCCACTTCCTTCACATGACAGACTAACCTGTTTCACATTATAGAGTCACTTGCTTCACGTGACAGACTTACGTGTTTCACATCATAGAGTCACTTGCTTGATATGACAGACTAATCTGTTTCACATTATAGAGTCACTTGCTTGATATGACAGACTAACATGTTTCACATTATAGAGTCACTTGCTTCACATGACAGACTAACCTGTTTCACATTATAGAGTCACTTGCTTCACGTGACAGACTTACGTGTTTCACATCATAGAGTCACTTGCTTGATATGACAGACTAATCTGTTTCACATTATAGAGTCACTTGCTTGATATGACAGACTAACATGTTTCACATTATAGAGTCACTTTCTTGATATGACCGACTAACATGTTTCACATCATAGAGTCACTTGCTTCACATGACAGACTAACCTGTTTCACATTATAGAGTCACTTGCTTCACGTGACAGACTTACGTGTTTCACATCATAGAGTCACTTGCTTGATATGACAGACTAATCTGTTTCACATTATAGAGTCACTTGCTTGATATGACAGACTAACATGTTTCACATTATAGAGTCACTTTCTTGATATGACCGACTAACATGTTTCACATCATAGAGTCACTTGCTTCACATGACAGACTAACCTGTTTCACATTATAGAGTCACTTGCTTCACGTGACAGACTTACGTGTTTCACATCATAGAGTCACTTGCTTGATATGACAGACTAATCTGTTTCACATTATAGAGTCACTTGCTTCACATGAAAGACTAACATGTTTCACATTATAGAGTCACTTGCTTCACATGACATACTAACATGTTTCACATTATAGAGTCACTTGCTTCACATGACAGACTAACAAGTTTCACATCATAGAGTCACTTGCTTCACATGACAGACTAACATGTTTCACATTATAGAGTCACTTGCTTAACGTGACAGACTAACATGTTTCACATCATAGAGTCACTTGCTTGATATGACAGACTAACCTGTTTCACATTATAGAGTCACTTGCTTCACATAATAGACCAACATGTTTCACATTATAGAGTCACTTGCTTCACATGACAGACTAACATGTTTCACGTAACAGAGACACTTGCTTCACATGACAGACTAACATGTTTCACATTATAGAGTCACTTGCTTCACATGACAGACTAGCATGTTTCACATTACAGAGCCACTTCCTTCACATGACAGACTAACATGTTTCACATTATAGAGTCACTTGCTTGATATGACAGACTAACCTGTTTCACTTTATAGAGGCACTTTCTTGATATGACAGACTAACATGTTTCACATTATAGAGTCACTTTCTTGATATGACCGACTAACATGTTTCACATCATAGAGTCACTTGCTTCACATGACAGACTAACATGTTTCACATTATAGAGTCACTTGCTTCACGTGACAGACTAACGTGTTTCACATCATAGAGTCACTTGCTTGATATGACAGACTAACCTGTTTCACATTATAGAGTCACTTGCTTCACATGACAGACTAACATGTTTCACATTGTAGAGCCACTTGCTTCACATGACAGACTAACCTGTTTCACATTATAGAGTCACTTTCTTGATATGACAGACTAACATGTTTCACATTATAGAGTCACTTTCTTGATATGACAGAGTAACATGTTTCACATTATAGAGTCACGTGCTTGATATGACAGACTAACATGTTTCACATTATAGAGTCACTTGCTTCACATGACAGACTAACATGTTTCACATTATAGAGTCACTTGCTTCACATGACAGACTAACATGTTTCACATTATAGAGTCACTTGCTTCACATGACAGACTAACATGTTTCACATTATAGAGTCACTTGCTTCATTATTCACTCGATTAAGATTTTTTTAAACACGTAAATATTCTTACCGGAGGAACGCGGAAGTTAAATATTTTGCTTTTTCCGAATATGTTATACGACATTTATCTGTGTAATATTTTCTGGATAAGAAGTGTTGTTATTCATTTGCGTATCTCCGGACACGTGATATACCCATGACTGTGCAAGTGCTTATACAGCAATAGGGCTGTACTTTGTAATCACAAGAAGTTAACATGTTTTACCAACGGAACTGGAATTATCCGACTGGTAGCGTATTATTTTGTTGAAAAGATGTGATCAAATTAGTCAGATAATAACGTTATTTATCATATAATGGACAGTGTTGTGGATGCGATAAACAAATCTTATAAAATATGCAAACGAGGTAATATATCTTTAAAATTCTATTCTATCCTATAAATATATGATAGCTTGCTAAAATATATTTGCAGAGGATTCCAGAATGTTGATATCCCGTGTGTGAGAGTGCATGTAAGGCAACGAGGCTGCCAGTCATTTAGCTCTATATGATATGTTTGTTTCTTGTTTAACACCGCACTCAGCAATATTCCAGCTATATGACGGCGGTCTGTAAATAATCGAGTCTGGTCCAGACAATCCAGTGATTGACGTCATGAGCATCGATCCACGCAATTGGGATACTATGACATGCATCAACTAAGTCAGCGAGCCTGACCACCCGATCCCGTCTGTCGCCTCTTACGACAAGCATAGTCGCCTTTAACGGCAAGCATGGGTTGCTGAAGACCTATTCTACCCACAGAAACTCGTTATTGGTCAGTAAATAAAAATATATACCCCCTATATGTAGTTCTCTACTTACATATAGGGGGTATATATTTTTATTTACTGACTAATAACGAGTTCCTGTGATTCTTCCCCGGATCTTCACGGGTCCTAACCACATGTAAAACATATGAACATGTATAATAATTCAATACGGTACATCTGTAGGAACCCTGAATCGTCGATACCAAGAATAAAGCGCTTGTTATCGATAAACAAGTGTCACGTATTCATCATCTGTCATGTTTTGTTTCGAATATTATACGCGCCGGAAGTGGAGCGTTGTCCGGGGAGACAACTCTGTCTAACTTTCCTTAAGGGAGCCAATCACCCATAACTATTCCAAGCGTATAAATGTTTGAAATGCATCAAAAATGGGATGCATTTTTCTCTTGATGCACGTTGGACATACTCCTGTGCATGTGTGTAGATGAAGCACCTCCCTTGGCCAACAATGACCTCACATAAATCTACACGGGCCATCATCTAAATGATGATGTGTGTAACTGAATCTGTGAGGCCAGTGTCAAAGCCCGAGTAACGTTAGCCACTTCAGAGACTTTGAAAACAGTTACATACGCGATGAAAAAAACATTAATACACCTGCTGACACGACTGAATACTCAACAAGGCCAAAAGACAAAAAACAAGAATGTTAATAAATTTAAAGCGGTTTGAATTTAGTTGAGCAGTAATTATGTGCATTTGTAATGCTTTGTTTTACATAATGACCATCTGGCCATGAAAAAAGATGTTTGTGTATATAATTATCTACACCTACGTCTACATGGTATTTATTAGACGCTAGATTGTTCAGACAATGCCGATGCGACGTTTAATTAAACTCTTTCATTCGGTATAAATGTTTGTGAAGCTATGGTAGGTCTAAGGTCTCCATAATGTTGATTTAACGGTTGTTTTACGCCGCGCTCAGCAATATTCCAGCTACATGACGGCGGCATGTAAAAAATCTAGCCTGGACCAGACAATCCAGTGAGCCTGACACCCGATCAAAATGGTTGCCTCTTACGACCAGCATCGGTTGCCTAGGACCCATTATAACCCGGAATCCGCGATAATGACGCGTTGGGGTATAGATGATGGTTTAGTATGATATAATATGAATTCGAAAACATGAATGAATGAATAAATTAGTTAGTTAATTAATGAACTGGGTTTAGCGCCGCTTTAAACAGTATTCCAGTTATATCGCGGCGTGTCAGCTTAATGTGGGAGAAGCCCTAAGTGATGCAGGTCTCAGACGTTTACCACTTCGGTGAAACCCACGAGCACGGGTATGGTGCCGACAAACCTAGAAACATAATCGGGGCGAATCAGGATTCGAAGTCACAATCATAGGTTTCTGGCATGCCCAAGGGACGGAACTCTGCACAGCGAATCGCGGCGCCTAAAACGACTGGGCCACCCGTGCCCCCTGAATGAATGAATTGCCAACTATTCTATTTGTGATTAGTATGTATTAGGTTGACATCTGACATATGCTTATTTTCGGAACAGCTGGAATAATACTGACAACGTTAACAGCTTGTATACAGCTTTTTTTAAATGAGGGGCGTATTTTATGACCACAAGCTGAAAACATGTAAAACTAATGGAAGTGAAAAAACCGTATTGTAGTCGTATTATTTTGTAGAAAGCACAGCACCAAAGAGTTATTTGATGAAGTAATTTATAATGTTGTGATATAACATGGAGTATACACGATCACCCTTGAGAGTTTCCAGTGTATAAATGTGTGAAATGTTTCAAAATGGGATGCACTCTCCACTTGATGGCTGCGTCTCGAAAACAGCATTTCTTCACTCTGAAGTCACGTGACAGATGAAACTACCCAATCTACCGTCTCGTTTAAATGATCAGAATATTTTCTTTCACTTACAGAGGAAAGAAACTGCACTCCGAGATCGGTGGACAATTTCTTTGGGAACTTCTTTACGTTGGAGCAAACTCAAGATGGCGGCTTTGTGCTCCATCTTTTTATTGCCATTTATCTCTTCGCGTCTCTCGCCATCATCTGTGACGACTACTTCGTCGCCTCGCTGGAGCTCATCTGTGAGAGTAGGTGACATTGTAATCAGGTCAAGAAGGCATTTTTGTCATTCCTTATATATAATTTGTTTAAAGCACATGATATGATTCGAAATACATGTTAAGTAATGACAACAACATGGATGCTGCTCTTAAGGTGGTTAAATATATGCAGACCGCCTCCGTGGTTCAAAGGAAAGCGGAAGGTCGGTGGTTCGATCCCCGGCCGCGTCATACCAAAAGACGTTGAAAAATGGTATTTGTTGTTACCCTGCCTGGCGTTCAGCGTTAAAGGGATAAAACAAAGGCCTGGTCGGCCAGACACTGTGTCTGGATGGGGTATACATGATAAAATGAGGCATGGTACCACAGTGGGCTCGCACTATAAAAGCGGCACCAGTCCGGCAAGTATAAGCACATACGCATGCACGCGCGTTTTGCATGTAAGTGAAATAACCAGTTGTTATTCAAAGTCTACTTTCGAATGATAAAATGTGTACTTAGATGCAGGTAAGGTTTTAAGTGAAAGAGTTGGATTTAACGCCGCTTTTAACAGTATTCCAGTTATATCGCGGCGTGTCAGCTTAATGTGGGAGGAAAGCCCGAAGTGATGCAGGTCTCAGACGTTTACCACTTCGGAGAAACCCACGAGCACGGGTATGGTGCTGACAAACCTAGAAACATAATCGGGGCGAACCGGGATTCGAAGTCACAATCATAGGTTTCTGGCATGCCCAAGGGACGCAAGTCTGCACAGCGAATCGCGGCGCCTTAGACGACTGGACCACCCGTGCCCCCTAAGGTTTTAAGGTTATGCTGTATAAAAGTGTTTTGATTTGTAGACAATAGAAGAGACAGACTTTTGTAACTGCACTGTATCTAAGGTCGAGTGCTTCTGTCCCCAGATCTGGGTCTGCAAGAAGACGTGGCGGGGGCCACATTCATGGCCGCAGGGAGTTCCGCCCCAGAGCTCTTCACGTCAGTCATCGGTCAGTCGCAACATTAATACGAACAATGTGCTTATTTATTATGCGCCAAATCCACCCCCAAATTCCATAAGCATGCGATGCATGATTCAATAGTTACCGCTATGGTTACCATGAATCAGATCGCCTCCGTGGTCTAGTGGTAGAGCATCCGCACGGAGAGCGTTGATGACATGCATCAACCAAGTCACCGAGCCTGACCACCCGATCCCGTTAGCCGCCTCTTACGTCAAGCATAGTCGCTTTTTACGGCAAGCATGGGTTGCTGAAGACCTATTCTACCCCGGATCTTCATGGGTCATTTTCACTTAGTGATAAGTTTGTTTGACATTTCCAAATCTCAATGATATTATCGATTTTTTTAATCTGACCATAAACGTTTTGTTGAAGAAAGTGTTGCTAGTGGAATGTTGTTTGTGTGTTTGTTGTTAATTGCCGCACTCAGCAATATTCCCGTTATGTGACGGCAGTCTGTGAATGATCGAGTTTGTAGCAGACAAGCCAGTGATTGATATCATGAGCATCGTTCTGCACATTTGTAATACGATAACATGCATCAACCAAGTCAGCGAGCTTGACCACCCGATCCCGTTAGTCGCCTCTTACGACAAGCATAGTCGCCTTTTACCGCAAGCATGGGCTGCCGACGACCTATTCTACCCCGGATCCTGGGGACTGGTTGAAAGCGTGTCGTCGTACCCCGGTCGTTGCTCATAATATCAATCACTAGATCGTCTGATCCAGACTCGATTGTTTACAGACCGCTGTCAAATAGCTATAATATTGCTGAGTGAGGCGTTAAACAACAAACGAACAAAGCAGGCAAGTGGGGAATTAAAGCAATGTTTTTTTTGTCATTTCAGGTGTATTCTTCGCCAAAAGTGACGTCGGTGTTGGCACCATTGTGGGGTCGGCAGTCTTCAACTTGCTGTTCATTATTGGTGTCTGCGGGCTCCTGGCCGGTATGGTAGGTAGCGCTTACACAGGAGGCTTTGTACTGAGTTTAGGAGACGGAAGTAGTGTATGGAGTGAGGTTTGACGTTGTTGTGAACAGTATTCCAGTTGTATCGCGGCGTGTCAGCTTGATGTGGGAGGAAAGCCCGAAGTGATGCAGGTCTTAGGCATTTACTACGTCGGTGAAACCCACGAGCACGGGTATGGTGCTGGCGAACCAATAATCATTATAATGGCACGCCTTAACGCAACTCAGCACAGCGAAATGATGCGTCGAAAAGGACAGGAGCACACGTGCCCTCAAATTAATGAAGCATAACTGTTGAAGCTCATGTTTATTTATCTTTATTTATCTTAATATCGTAAATTGTCCAACACATCCGTAGGCTTGACCGCTCATCCGTCGCGCGAAAACCGGGTTGGATTCCCTAAATGGACATTGCTAAGGTATTGCTGAAATCATACTCACCCACTTATCCTGTGGTCTCCACTTCGTGAACACTCGGTTCAAGACGAATGGCGTTCTTCGTCTTCCATTATCCAGTGTATCACACTCCATTCTTTTTTATCAATACCCTCGACCCATTCCCACCTTAGCCTCGTTTTGGAAGTGTCGTTACCTTTTCTCGTGCATGAGCCTAAAATGAACAACCAATCAAATTGGTGCTTCTGAATACGAGTTTGGCATAGAACTACATTCAAAATCAAAGCCTTTATCGAATTGTTAAATGTCATGAGAAAACTGTTTTTTATTATCATTATCATACTGTACAGCCATAAACGACCCGTGAAGATCCGGGTAGAGAATAGGTCTTCTGCAACCCATGCTTGTCGTAAGAGGTGACTAACGGGATTGGGCGGTCAGCCTCACTGACTTGGTTGATGCATGTCATCGTATCCCAATTGCGTGGATGGATGCTCATGATGTCAATCACTCGATTGTCTGGTCCAGACTCTATCATTTACAGACCGCCGTTATATAGCTGGGATATTGCTACAACAAACACAACAAACAAACAAAACAGCAATAAACAGTGAGCCGCACAGTTAGTGATGGTGGTGTGAAATGCAGCCATGGCAACAGAACCTAACCTGTCGGGCAAAAGAAAGTATGCACTTGAAAATTGGAATTGACCAAGATATTACGAACGTTATGAAAACGTTACAACTCTGAGAATAGTCGCCGAAACACTGCAAACTTAAGGTCCAAAACGTGATACTGGTATCAAATACATTCACCATCGAATATTCATTTCTTGTATAGTTCATTTTTAACCACTAGTCCAGTTCCTCCTGTTCTTTTGTAAACAATTGGAGATATTCTGAAAGCTTTCAATGTACAGATGATGAAAACCAATGTTTCCAAATTTTCCCATCATTAATTTGGCGGCCATCTTGGATTTCAAGATGGCGGCCATTTTTGCCCTTATTTGTCAAGTCTAAGGTTTCTGAGGTATTTGTTTTGTCATTTGATTGTTTATATGTGATACTATGCCTACTCATATGTAATAAAGACATGCTTAAGGTAATGATTTAACATTCTTAACAAATAACTACCTCAACTTTTCTAATATCTTAGTTGGAATTTGCAATATTATCAGTAGTGTGGATGGAATCCTATACACGTTACAACTGTCTATCACAAAGTAAAATTGTTAAAGAATATATTGTACCTTAATTATAATATGACCACTTAAAAACTGTCATATATCCAATAATTACCTATGGTTATATGTTTCTCCAGCAACTCAGCAACATAAGAGTTCTAACAAAAGAGCCATCTGTATCCATGCCTTGGCATTTAAATTTTCAAAATGTCAAATAGAATTGTCATAGTCAAATTACACCAAAAGGGTCCCTTGAAGTCTTGAATAATAAAATCACAATTCGTGATATGTATCTTGACGTCATATTCACAGAGAGTCATCAAACATGTCATTGCTGTCATCACCATCATTAGTTGACATATTTGCGTCATCGTCGTTCTCGGGCGGTCGGGTAGCCTAGTGGTTTAAGCGTTCGCTCGTCACGTCGAAGACCCGGGTTCGATTCCCGACATGGGTACAATGTGTGAAGCCCATTTCTGGTGTCCCCCGCCGTGATATTGCTGGAATATTGCTAGAAGCGGCGTAAAACCATTCTAACTCACTCACTCAATCATCGTCGTTCTCACACACTGAGGTGCAGAGGCAGAGTTCTGTACATGACAAGTTGTTTGATCGACATGTACATCTTTGGGTCAAACAGTCTTTCCTACACTGACACCTCACCATCTCAATAATAGCTTTGGGGCTGGGAGAACATCCATTGTTGCTGGTTTGATCCGGTTATCTTTGTCCTTATGGAATCCACGTTTCCAGTGGATCTAATTGGATCTGATGGGCCAAATTGGTTTGACCCCACACATACGCTTGAATATGAACCCTCAGAATATGCTGCTTTAGAGCACCCAGTGTTTGTTTGTTTGTTTGTTTGTTTGTTTGTTTGTTGTTTAACGCCGCACTCAGCAATATTCCAGCTATATAACGGCGGTCTTAAAAAATAATCAAGCCTGCACCAGACAATCCAGTGATTGACATCATGAGCATCGACCCACGCAATTGGGATTGGTGACATGTATCAACCAAGTCAGCGAGCCTGACCACCCGATCCCGTTAGTCGCCTTTTACGACAACCATAGTCTACTGTTACGACAACCATAGTCGCCTTTTTACGACAACCATAGTCGCCTTTTTACGACAACCATAGTCGCCTTTTTACGACAACCATAGTCGCCTTTTACGGCGTGTTGGTGATTGCTTGTCACTCTCTGCCATATGTTTGCAGAGGAGATTCCATCTGAGCTCTGGAATATCTGTCACAGAGAGGCCTTTTGGATAGTAGACAGTACATACAAATCTGGCCAATGCTGAAATTATTTGGCCACTGAGTTCATCACTTGGGGTCAGCATAAGGAGAGTATCAACAATATCATCATCCGTTTTCAAGTATCATACATGGCAATCCTCTTTTTTGTCCGACAGTTGAGAAATATTCCCAATGAAACGGCCATAAAATATATGTATGGATCGTAACATTCGTCACCACTCGCCCCTTTCCGTAACCTGCAAGAAGACTCGTCCCCCTATCGATGAATGTTGTGTGCGAAAATACGACAAACCAATCAGAATGCGCGTATGATTTCGAGTTCTTTGTCAAATAATCCCTCAGAAATAATTTTTGATTTGACATATGTCTTGCATCTAAAATTATACCCAAGACACATTTAAATGTGTTCAATCATACTGTATAATTCCGCACGTCCCGATGTGCTTTAAATTGCATCTGAAATATATATAATATATGGGGAAATATATGTAAACCCTTACGCAACGAGTTGACAATTGTTTTAGGTATGCCCGTTTGCGCTAAGACGGATCCCGGTCGCAAAAATGGCCACGAGAGGGGCACGAGTCGCTATTCGGCTTGTCCCGGAATAACACGAGTTGGTCACGAATGAGATCGTAACACCGGCAGCCTTGATTCACCGCGTGATAGCTGCATCTGTATAGGTCAAAATGTTATTTGTTATAACGCGGGCATTTACTCGGCAAATTACAGAAGCCCATATTTTAGTTTCTTACACACCTGTGGGTGTGAAACCCATTTGAGATAACTGGTATCAAACATGTGTGTGAGATCAACTTCCAGGCCAGTGATACTCCATGGTGATGACCTGAGGTCAGATTATGACGGACTACTTTCCAGATCGTAAGTTATTGATAAGTTGCACGTGCTTCAGTCGAATGTCCACCGGCGTCTAACGTAATGTTTTTAGAGTATAAATAGATACATTCCTGTGTAATGGGTTATCGGACGCTTAAGAAACATTCGCTAATCACAAGAACCGTAAAACATCTCATTCTTGATCAAAGACAGCTTTATCTTAAATTCAAGCCATCATCTGAGTTTTTACAATGTCTGTTTACACCACAACCCTCGTTATAGCGGGGGTAATTCGCGATAAACATGGCCGTCTGAAAACATTTGATGCCCGAAAACATATGATCCGACGATATATATGTCTCTTCTCTTCAACCCTCACTTCGAAGTCGGCTAAAATTCGAAATACATCACGCACACTAAAAGTGTTGAATTCTGTGATAGCATCCACTGTCATTTTAGGCAAAGCAAAATTACTGTGTGTTTTGAAATCTAAATATCGGATATTTAGTCGAAGGATTGAATTTAAAAAACAGCACATTAGTGATCACGGGAATCTGTTTTTCACCAAAACACCAATGATAATTCTGAAATGCCGCCGCGGAGCCTGGAATCGTTTAGAATGTTTTGGAAAATACCAAAACACGAACACCGAAGTGCACTTTCCGCCATATTGGATAGTGTTGACAAAAATCACGTTTCACGTATGCGGGTTATGAAACGCCTATAAGTTTACGTACATTTCAAACTCAGCTGCGAAACATGCACCCCTGAATTCCTCCTACAATTTAGAATCAAGTATGATACTACTTCTAGTCTTTCTGGACCGAAGAACCATTCCTCATGTTTAGGTATCTTTCCCCCTTTCTTGAAAACAACAACTTTAGTTTTGTTAGAATTTACAGATACTCCCCACTTAGCACAATATTTATAAAGAACATCTATCTTTACTGTAAATTTAGACCACAATCTGCAATTACTACAACATCATCCGTAAATAGTAAAATCGATTATGCCTGTACAACTTCGTCTACAAAAATTCCACTACAATCAGCGTTCACGATATCCTTCACAAGTTCGTCAATGTACACGATAAAGAGGAGTGGTGATAATATACATACCTGTCTTACACCTGCACTTGCATTGAATACATCAGTCATAGTATTTTTACTGCATCTTACATCTGCTTTTACATTTATATATATACTTCTTAGTAGTGTACTTATCTTACCATGTATACCTTTAACGAGCAACGTATATAAAAGTTTATTTCGATCCACGGTGTCAAATGCTTTTTTGAAGTCAACAAAA